TGATCACTAACTTCAGACGCAGACGGTTCATCTCGAACACTTTCATTCGTATCACTTGCACCAGTCAATGATATTGGTTGGTCAGCTGCGATTGAAGTTTGCTCATCCGTTTCTCTCTTCTTCATTAATCTTTCCAAGAGAAAATGATTCTCGGTCAATTGTGAATCCTTAAATTGGACACAAATTCAAGACATAGCGTATCTTCAAATGACAATATTCATAACATGTCTGAAGCAATTGAAGAGATAATTTGAGTGCAAAAATAACCCGTATCCAATAACTTCAGTTGCTTATCAGATGTCATGATAAATCATCATGATGGCTCTAAAAAATTGAAAATATGAGAAGAGGCGACACGTCGGAATTTGTTGAGTAACGCTTGAGAAATCTTTATCGGCAGTCGCGTGAATATTCCATGATAGGCTGACTTCAAGTTTGTGATTATTGATACTCAACAATGGTGAATCTTCTTCAGGATTTTTATTGTGCCATCTGTAGGTTACGTAGAGTTATTCAGATACCTTTTTCAGTCCACTCAATCGTTCTCTGATGGCAGGTATCGATGATTGGAACTCTTTGTTGATCCGTTTCTCCATTTGCTCCCCTTCGGCCATACGATTCTCATCACCTCCAACGCCGTACACAACCGCTTTTATCTGCAATAATTTCATATCGTTAATCTGATGACGGAATTCGAAATTCAGCTGAGTTTTTGGCAGTTTCCACGATATTTTCTTAAACTCCACCACGTATGAGATGTCATTTTGGACTGATTATATCGGTAAATGCAATTTTTTGAACTCTTTATGGAAAACTCTTCATTCTACAGCATCGTTTTGGCTTTGCTGCTCAACCTTGTGAGTATTACTTGATCATGGGCACTTCGCTTTCCACTTTGATCTCATTTCGTATGTTAGCATTCCAAAAGATGATTACATCAGTACATAAAAGCAATCGGATATCATCAATAAACACACATACTTCAACCATATTCGTCGGATTGTACTCCGCTACATTTTCTTCATCAATGAATTTCAGTGCCTCCCGATCGAAATCTTTCGATATTATTATTGGATTTTCCGGACTTCCCAACGGTGACTGACCAATATTTAGTCCTGAAAACTTAACCTTACTCTATGCTTGTAGCAATGTTCGAGAATATATTCATGACGATAATCAAAATAAGCAGAAAATGATGCTTGCTTGGGATGATGCTCTGAACTGTGCGCTTTTAGTTTCGTATAGTTCAAATAATGAGACGCCGCAACAGTGCTATGTTCACGAGAACACTTAATTTGGAACCTGATGTGATGGCTTTTGATGACTTTATTGTAGAAGTGTTTTTGGCGTTTAGATATACTTGTATGACAATATTGTTGACGAGTGGTTGTGTCGATTGCTGCCTTGACGTTGATTCATCGAATGATGCCAACCGAACTTCATGAACCAATGTGTCACCCTCTTTGGGTTGATAGCCACTATCGCGTCGCAGTGATCGAGAACATTGGGCAATCTGATAATTACACAATAATTACATAATTCAACCCTTCATATTACTCGATAGTGAGCTTCGATTTTCTCTGAATTTTTTATGCGCAGTGCTCTAATTTCGGACAAGCTCCCCTCAATCAATCGCTCTTCTCTTACCATCGCCTTTTGTCGTTTAACAGCCACAAAATACAATATTCGATTGCTTGCGTAATCAGAGAGCAATTGAACTTCAACGCACAGTAAGTACTTCAAAAGGCAATCTTAGAGTGCAGAGTTGCGCTTGTTCACGTCTATGGTGGTAATCTAATGAAGTCCCGGCTCATCATCTCATGAAAAACGAGTTCAGTGGTTCACCGATCGCTGTTTCGATTTCGTTTCTTCTGCGCAATTTTTCACGAAAGTATTATACTTTCAAGTAGGCAATCAAAAATACGCAGGTGACCGTATTCGTTCGCAAAATGCATACTACAAATTCCTGTATTGCAAAGCGATCTATCATCTGCATTCAGTGATCAACTGCGTTTCAGTGCAGTTCTTTCATACGATTATTTCATTATACTATCATATTGTCTCAATTGTAAAAGACAATAAAAATTTTAATTGGTATTTCTTGTGATCGTTTTCTGATCGTCTGAAAAAGACGAATCATAATTTGAGCAGACAGGTTTTTTTCTCTTAGGAAAGAAACGAACACTAAATAAAACAGGTTCACTCAATTGCATAATTGCATAATACATGGAAGTTTCAGTATTAATCTATTTATGTTGACACAAGTACCTCCTCATAAGCAATTAGCACTGAATCAAATTCAGTCATTTCATAACACTGAGAAACTAGCGCTCGATACTTAAATGCCATTTTTGTAATGCACACTCATTTCCTCACGGTCAGTAATTATACGACTGCGTGAATATCAAAACAACATTGCAATAACAACAATATAACTATGAACAATATCGGTCTTGCTGTTATTTGTACCGCTTTTATTACTATTTTTGTTGGCACATTCTGAGTAAATTATTCTTTTTGCAAAAAATGAGGCATTTTCAGTTATTCACCGATTCTTCTCACGTCAACATCATTATTCCTATGATTTTTCACCGTATACATCAAATAAGTAACAGTAACTGCAAATCAGAATTAACAATGAAATTCGGCAATTCGATGATTCTTCGATCACGTAAAGTGCGATCAAAACTACGAAACCAGACTGAGCATTCATCAATCAGCCAATACCAATCAAATAAGTCATACCTGAATTGAACACAGAATCAGCAGTAAACGTCCTCGCGAACTCCATCCCATCGCTGAAAGTTTCTAATCATGACAAATATGCACTGTAATAGCGATGTTCACGAATGAAAACGACATCATAAAAGAAATTCTTCGAGAATCAATGCAAAAACAAGAGATCAATGTTCGACGAATCATCAGCGTTCAATCAGAAAGGTGTTAATAAATCAATCAGTCCAAAAAAATCATCTTTTGAGTGTTATTCAGTGAAATTCAAATATTCATTCAGTACCTCAGCAACAATCCGATGATCGTCAGGTTTATTCGCTTAACTGATAATGAAATGAACACTAAGACCAAAATTAACAAACCCATCGCCATTCCACAGTAATAGTATTCGTAATTATAGTAAGACTCATTATCCATTTCATCTTCTACAAACGCATAAGTGATCTTCCTTCACCGACTAATTATTGTACATCAAGCACTTTTATTCAATAATCAGTTGACTTATTCAAACAAAGTTCGCTTACCCTTTCTTCAATTTCAATTCAGCGTCTCATATAATTCATTCGAAAAAGCACACTCGTTCATTGCCACTACTCAGAAAAATGATAATTATCGAAAAAATAGAATAAGAAACGAAAATGATCAAATTTCAAGAGTGTTATTGGCTGTTGCCAACTCCTTCAATGAAATAATTTCCGTAATAACTTCCGCCAAAAGGCGACCAAATTGTAGGGCTGCAGTGAAATAGGACAGATAGGATACGGTAGAAGTCGTGAGTCAAAAAAAAGAGAAAGAAATGGAAATGGTCGCAGCTGGTTCACAAATGCACTACAGATAATGTGCAGTCACCATTGAGCTCAACAGAAGATCTTAGCAAATCGAGTCAATTGAGCGTTAAAAGATGAGTTTATTGGTTTGTGTACCGTTTGAAGTGAATTAATTTCGTGGTGATGACGATGGATTATTGAGTATTGTATTTGAAACAATGTTATGATGTTGATGATCTTTTGATGAGAACAATCGTATTTCCTTTTTTCTTGATTTCCTTATGAATACTGTTGCGAACAGCAAGCAGCAGCAGCACAGCAGCACATCGCCGCATTATTCATGAACCGGTTCATCGCTCAAACGGACACAAAGATGATACTTGAATGATGATGTATAATTACTATTGTTGTTGTTATTATTACTATTATGAAGGAATTTGCGCATCTCACGTATGCTTAAGGATAACATCACAATTCAATCCACTCAAATTTCAAATCAATGGGCAAAGTGAAAGGTGCATGCACTGATGAATTTAATTTGAATACATATATACCAGGCGTGCATTAGCCACAGTTGATTAACTAGAATATTCCAAGCGATCAGTATATGACAACAGTTTCATGATGTTGATCAAAAGCTCGTTGAGAAAAATGCTAGAAATGCAATCAAAGGACAGACATTTTTGTATGGACACATACGATGCTTATCCTTACTATCAAATTAAAAAGATTCGAAACATTTTATGCAAAGCCAGTTCACGATAATAGATTATCGTTCGACGACACAAAACACAAAACGACTCTTCAAGAAAGGTATCATGTCACCCTAATGACAACACCAAATATTCAATGATATGCTATCATTGAGCATCTGATGTCTTGATCTGACTTGATGAAACAAGATAACTTTGGTGACTACACCATAAGACATTGACTAAAATCCAGTTAATCATCTGAACGTATTAAATGAGAACGAAAACAATATCGGAAGCAACAACAAAAACAATAACAACATCAACACGTCTGAACCGAATAAATGAAAACAAAATTGAATAAGACATTGAATGTGATGAACTCTTGGAATGGAATTAAAGAAAACGAAAAAGAACTAAGAACATTTCAAAGTTCTTTGAGTAGATGAGTTCAGACAAAAAATCCAATCGGAAATTACATGAAATGGAACGGAAATTCTGGTTTTTCCTTATTAATCATTTGTAAATAATCATAGATTATGAAGCAGTTGAATGGCACTGAGAAAAGTGCACGCGACAATGGTCTATCTGATCTATGAACTTGACACTATCAAAATATTATGATAATATTGTTGCGTTTAAGAACGAGTTGATCAAGAATCGCCGTACCAATAGCGAATAATCACTTGACATCATATCATATCAGATTTCAAATCCAGTCTTGATTATTGCGTAATGTAATGTCGATGCCATCACCGAATTATCACTTTCAATTATATCCGATGATGTGAACTTGAATGTTACCAATAAGACCAATAACATCTCATCTCAGAAAAATCCGAACAAGTGTGATAATTTAATAAACGTCATTGATTCAACAGAAATGGCGGCGGATATTTGCTCATCTGAAAATAATCTCATAACCAGAACTTTTATGCGAAGAAACTCGCACTCTTGTGCATTTCGTTGGAGTCTTCATTGCTCGTAAACGAACCGTGAAAGCTCATTTAAGGGACATATTTACTCCTGCTAATCATATCGTCACTCCTTATAAATATTTGGATTACGGATAAACTGACATTGATATTCAATCATTCATAAATTGATATGCAAGAATTTCCGATAGGTTGATGAAATGGATTGTTTGACTCAATTCACTGGTGGTTCTTTTGAGGTACATAAATAACTTTTCTTGCAGATTTCTGCTGGTGAATGTTTCAATTCTGAGAGGGGCGACGGAGAGTCAATAAATAGATTGACCGATAATCTGAGATGCAGTTGCAGAAGGAGTAACAATCGAATGGTGTTGAAAGCAACTCGAAATGTGAGTGCACTATGTCGAAACACTGCAAAGGTGTTCTCACCAACTTCGTTCAGAGGATGATGTTCAATACGCAAAGTACACAAAAGAGCTTTTGAAAATGTTGTGAAAATTGCACATTTATGCACGAAACATTTGCATATCAATGAAATTCTTTAAAAACGACCAAATTGGATTGATACTTAGCAAAATGATGATTATCTTACGATGGGAACTAAATATTTGAAACGACGATTGTTTAACAATATAAACTAGATCTAATAGCTTAATATGAGTCATCGTTTTCGAATGATCATCTCAGCATCTGCAAAACAAGAAACGAACTATCAAAGAAGGCAGTTTTTGTTGAACGTTCAGTTTATTGGACTGATGAAATGCTCAATAGAGAATTTAATGCGACACCGCAAAATGTTGCTAATTTCGAACAATGAATTCACAACAGCGAAGAAGCAGTAACGACTCAACCGTATGCATTCACCAACAATTATGATGGTTTTGAAGGCCGTTTTTTTGTTGAAATTGTTGTGAGGAATTTAAGCACACCGAAATTATTCATTATTCGACGCCAGGAATTAACGATCTTCAAATGATCAACTGAGCCGTTGTTATGACTATTTAGAGGGGATATGAATGGCACCTTGTGCTAAACTCACTTCTTGGCTCATTAATGGTCAAAATTGGATTTGCAATCGCAATTAACTGANTGAGTGAATGATTCGTCAAAAATGTGTATCGTGCGTTCTGAAATGTGTATGGTCGCCTGAATTGTCAAAACATTGGAATATTCGATCAGAAATTTAAATATTCTGGAAATTTCGTGAAAAGAGTACTTTATTAAAGGCCATATTCAGTTTCCAACATAAACGCAGATTTGTCAGATTCACTGTCGGATAACAAAATACCACCGACCTTGTTCCCTTTCTTCAACTGATATACATTTTTTCTTGGCTATCGATTACCGATAAATTTCACTTGAAATCAACGAAAAACGCATCACTGTCAAACGTAAAAAAGCAACTATTCCCATGCATTCAGCAATAAAAGCTCAAAAAACTCCGCCGCTACCTTATCAAATAGCAATTAAACACCACTTCAAAACATCAATATTTGTATAAGAACCCGGTTTTTCCATTCAAAACAAAAATGACATTCTTTAATGCGCACGAATGAAGTAATTTCTGGGCAAACGCAAAATCGTAAAAGCAAACAAGGATCAGTGTACGTTGATGAGAAAATAGGAAAATTTCGAATTGTCATCAGTTTCGAAGTGTCGCCTGAATGTTGCAAGATGGAAATGTGGCTGCTGGCACTTATTGTGAATTGCGAAGAATTCTTGTTGAAACGACACCGAATAAAGAAGACAATATGAAACCGAATTAAACTCGTTAAGTGTTATTTGCACGTTGCGATGATTTATGTCATTTATGTGATTATGACTATAATCGTGATTATTATAATTTATTATTATTGCCATTGGCTTTATGTAAAAGTCATCATCACTACTCTCCTCCCATGCACACTGATTTCTGCTGTTGGCATCCTGTCTGATAATATCACCATCTTTATTTGATTTCATAACTATGAACTAAAACACCGTGCTAACCAGCAATACAATAGCAGCACTCATCGCTATCCTCAATTTCTTCCTCAATAGCAAAAAAATTCTGTTCTGTAAGTACACAATCAGCGGTTATGCAAATCTCCATGTTTCAGTTCAATCAACAAATCACTCATCAATCTTCATTGCATCCAAATAGTTCTTCATCCAATATCTATCCCAACTAAGTCGGTGCATCACCGATTGTCACTATTTCACGGTCAATGTTATCACTTTCTACACTGATCACTCACCAGGTGATCATAATCTATCATCATATTGAGTGGACACTTTGAAAGATTCAACTACAAACA